GGGGGGGGGGGGGAGAAAAAAATATTAACAGTCGTGATACTGGAAACACTGTATATTTTATAAGTGGGCCTTTCTTCTCGATTCTGCTCATGTTACGTGGGTACTGCCTCCGGGGATGTGGTTTTCTTTCTCACTGTTATTTATTCTACACTTGGCCAAGCTTCTACACTTGAGGTTACTGGGTAGAGTTTCCATTATCTAGGTCCCTCTTTGTTCTCTTCTCCCTAGTTTTCGACAAAGACTCTTTCTCCCTTCACAGTTTTGCCAGCACCAATGGCTCACCTGATTTGAAGGCAGTTTCTTTTGCCCAGCAGTGACATCCTGCCCAGCAAGTGGTCACTCGTCAGGAATGTGAGTTCCGATCCTGTCTGGCTGAGTCTTTGTGTGATTATGGATAAATTACTCTTTCTTATGGGCCTCAGTTTCCCTCTGTGTACAACGACTCAGATGAGCCAAAGATCTAAAGTTTCTTTTAGATCAAATAGTCTATGAGTCTATTCTGCTTTGTATATAGCTCAATTTTCTAGGAATTTAGAATCCAGAGGGCTTGGTTAGCCAAGGTTGGGATGTGTGCCCACATTGAGAAGTTTGAGAGGCTTATAGCAGGGCAAATGGATACTCCTAATAAGAGGATGGGAGGGTGATGGTGTCTCCCCTTTTCACAAGTGACCCTCCTTTCTGAACTGGAATTTGGCAGAAGTGCATCTGGAGTCATTCACTTCCATCCACTCACTCTTCCTTAAATCTAGTGACAGGTCCACTCTATCAGAAAACCCATCTGCCCATCCCCATCTCTATAAAAAGGGGTGAGGGAGAGAGAGAGAGAGAGAGAGTGCACTCACCTTTCAGTACCACTTTTTCCAAAATGTTCATGAAGTTCTTTTGGGCGATGCCACTCAAGGATGTGAGCTGTGACTTTGCTATCAGTTCCAACAGCTGTGGATAAAAATAGAAGTTGCCAGGCTTAGAACACAGAGACATTTTTCTCCTCTAATCTTTGCTTTCAGGTCACATGACACGTAGAGACAGATCGACAGGGAGAGATAGATGGCAGGCGGGCCCACAGTGCAATAAAAAGCAGATGCTCAAAGTGAAAGACAAATGGGGGGTAATTCAAAACCCAGGAATCAGGCTGAATATTTAATTGCTTTTGTTTTCTTTTCAATATAAAGAGTCTTGCTTCAGCCAGGGTGAATTCATTCTGCCTGTCCTACTTCAGCAAGTGAAGCTGAGGAACTCTAAAGGGAGCAAAACTTCCAATGACCTGCAAATGTTAGAGTCGTACACAATCACTCCCAGCAAGAATTTTTCTACTCCTACTTGAACTTCTTCCCCACCGGCACCAACTACTCTCAAGGCAAATTAAACCTCATGGTCAGTAAGATGCACATTTTCCAAGGAAGGGGAAATTCTTATCCAGAAGTCTCCTGCTCCTGCAGCATTCAGTAAAAATGGCTGTTAATTAGAATCTTCCATTGCACTTAAATTCCTGTGGAAAGAGGCCAATCACAGGAAAAGAGAGGAATTCAGGGTTGTACCGTATATCTACGTATTTCTGCTTAGAGGCTAGGATCCTTATAGCTCCTAACCTTGGGTTCAATTTTTGATTTGACCACCTATTAGCCCTGTGGCTATGGGCAAGTTACTAAATTTCTTGGTGCCCTGGTTTCATCATCTGTACTAATAATACTCAGAGTCGTCAAGATTGTTGAGAGCTTTGAATGAGGGAATGCCCATAAAGCACAGTGCCTGGCACAAATTAGGTGGAAAATAGAGGTTGGTGTTTATTGAAAGACTGTGTCCCAATCCCACGACCCCCATTATTGCCAAACACAAAGAAATGAAGGTAATAATTTAAGTTGGTGCGTCCCTAGTCTGGTCTTTCTTTGGTAGCAAAATTCTTTACAGATGTGGCAATATTTTTAAAAAATCTATTAAAAATTCAATTGTTAAAAAATGAAACTTAAGACTGGAAGGGAATCTTAGAGATCATGTAGTTCAACCAACTTAACAGATGAACAAAATGAGGCTCAAGAGACTATCAGTTTACTGAGAGCAAGGAGAGGACTCAGCAGAGACCTCAACACACTTGATGCTTTCATGGAGTTATCGAACAAAAGAAGTTGATGTAAAATGAAAATAATCTCCCCAGAGCCCAGCAGGCCCCCAATGCACTCACCTTAGACTTAGAACCAAGACCCCTCTTTGACATTAAACCTTGAATTTCTGCTCCTAGGAAACTTTTCAAGAGCGTTTCATCTCCTGGCTAGGCCCCAGCCCAACTTCACTTTGGGTCAATAAACATCGAGTGTGACACTGTTGGAAGCGTTGGAATCAAGGCTGAGGGAACTAGCAAAGTGACATTCTAAGAAGTAGGCTGCAGAGGAGAACCGAAACTTCTGGATCAAAGCCCTAGGCAATTGAAAGAACCTCTGCTTCCAAGACATTTGTTTAAAACTTCTGTCCTCCCGGAGCCCTTTTGGAGCCTGTCAAACCACATACAGACTTTTAATTTCCTGAACATAATTTTACTTTTAAGTAAAACAAAGCAAAACAAAAAAACCACCCCAAAACCTTTTCCTGCCCGGCTTCTGTATCTCTCACACATGCAGGGAGAAGGAGGTGAGGCAAGGCGGAGGCTGGTTTGTTAAGATTAGTGCTGCTGATCCAAACATGGAAGTAGGAGCTGATCCAGTGCCCACTGAGAGAGGCAAGAAGTCAGTACATCCGTAGAGGCCACACCCATGGGCGGTGACCACACCCGATGACCTCTGCTTGTCTGGTTCATCTCTGTCACCAACCAGCACGTGTTAGTCAAGAGAGGAGTGACAAATGGCACCAAGGGACCGGCCAGACCTTGCATTTATCTCCCTGACCAGCAACAACCAGATTGAGAAGGCCAGCCCGATGGTCTATTAATACACTGTGCCTCACATGACCAGCATAAAGCAAGATGAAAGAAAACAAAAGCCTTGAGTGGCTCTCGGAACGGCAGTTGGCTGTGCACTGTGACTCATCGTGTGGTGGAATGGGGGAGGGCGGGCGGAGCTCTGCCTGAAATCCATCCAAAACCCAGATTCCACGTGACTACCATCTCTTGAGGGTGTCAGTTTTAATCTTGTCTAAAAACACACCAATCACATGGAGAAGGCAACTCGCAGGGCTATGACTATGCATCTGAGGGAAAACAAAAAGCCCTTTGGTCAGATTGAGATGATGTTTGACTAAGGAAGAAGAGTAATACGGCAGCGAAAATTTCTCCATCGACATCAGGATGACATGTCAACTACGCTATGTTTAACCTGATCTCAAGAAAAAGTCCCTCTTTTCACTGCCAGGCAGTTGTGGGGTCAGGAGAAAAAACCCTGCAATAGGAACACACCCAGCTTCTCTAGCTGGGTGACCTCTACAACTGTCTTTCGTTAGCAAATATTTTCTGAGTGCCCACTCTGTCCTAGCATTGTGGCAGGTGACGTGGATATGACAGTAGGGTCACATGATAGCTAGACGCATGGAGTTTACTGTCTAGCCTGTGGCATAGGTCATTTAACCTCTCAGAGCCCCATTTTCTTCATTTCTAAAATGGAAATGAAAAGACTACCTACTTTACAGGGTTGTTATAGGAGTTAAAGAGATAAATGTGTAAAAACCCATTCTAAATACCAAATTCAAGGCATTATTACTATTATAAAATATTATTTCTTCCTATTCCAGACCCCAATCTTTTAGTGAAGTTTACAGCTGATATCAGGGTTTAGCAAACTTTCTGTAAGGGGCCAGAGAGTAAATATTTTGGGCTTTGTGGGCTATAGGCTCTTTGTCACAACTACTCCGTTTAGCAGTTATAGTGCAAAAGCAGCCTTAGGCAACATGTAAATGAATAGATGTGGCTGTGTTCCCATAAAACTTTATTTACCAAAACAGGTGGGGGACCGGATTTGGTCCTTGGGCCATAGTTTACCAACTTTACTTCGTGCCTCAGTTTCCCCATCTGTAAACCATGCATAATAATAGTACCAACTTCGGAGTTGCAATGAAGATTGTGTTCATAAAGCATTCAGAATAGTGTCTGATACAAAGAATATACTCAAATTGTTATTAGTTTTTATCATAATGCAGAGAATATCACTAGGTAAAATTAATGCCAGGGTGGGCATAGTGAATTAGTAAAGTACAGGTGGTTTAAAGATCTTTAGAATCCTTGTATTTCAATTTTATGTACTGTCAACCAAATGCTTAAATGGTTTCAAATTTTAATATCACTTTCTGTCATTTTTATTATGTTTGTGATACATTTTAATAGCTCCCTATCTGTTGATGAATGTTAACGTTGATACGTTTTACGACTTACATAGTTGCATCTACCGTGAGGTCTTATTTTGCTAACGATAAATGCGGGTTTACTACACATCAGTGACTGCACTAAGCACCTCACATGTATGATCTCGCTTAGTCCTCAATGGTAACCTGAGGAGTTAGGCTCTCCATTTGAAAAAGAGGACACTGGCTCAGAGAAGTTAAGTCAAATACCTAAAGTCACACCAGCAGTAGTTAAATGGTGGACTCTAACCAGATGTGTCTTAACAGAAAACATGTTAAGGACTTCAGCTTTTCAGGGTCGATCAAATTTGCCTCTACGACCAAACTTTAAAACTAGTAGCAATATCACGTATTGCTATATTCTGGGAGACAGGGTCTGGAAATGCCGTATCAATATTACACTGTGACAGGTAATCAGCTTTTACTACTAAGGGAGAAATAATCTGCAGAAAGTGTTAACAACATGACTGGGATGGGGCCATTGCTTTGGGTAAACCACTTAGGTCTACTTTCCACAACAGCATAACACTGCAGGCCCCAAACCAGTAGGTAGTATGGTGTGGAGCTAGCGGTAAAGAGGACTTAAATTGATTAATTTTACTTCTGTGTTAAGAGAGCTGTGTGCCGAGGGGAGCAGGACTACGTCTAGCAATTTCTTTACCAAGATGACTTAGCTGGCTGGATTCTTTGCCCCCAGCCACAAGAGAGCAAAGGAAAATGTTCTGTTTGGAAATGGCTCTTTCTTTTCAGCCGGGCAAATTTTAGCCCAGGTGCCAGTAATCTGTGCTGTGTTTAAGGAGAGGCAGGAGGGTAAGGAGGAGGAGGAAAAGGAGGAGCAAGACAGCTCTCAGGCCCCTCCTGAACTCCATGGTATCATTGCCGCGTGGGCAGTCTGGGTATCCGGAGTGATTTGCAGTGACTGGTTGTGCAGTGACAGGAATGGGTCTGGGCTACCAGAGGAAGGGATGGTGGTCACCGCATGCCGAAACCACATCCTGCCCTTCAACTTTGGCTCGTGCTCATTTTGGAGACGTCAAGTAGGGGAAAAATCTAGTTGCAAGCAATATCGTATGGCAAATCTTGGAGCGGTTACAACCGCAGTTTGAAGTGGCGTGTGGAACATGACTGGGCAGAAGAGATATTCCCCTCCTATCTCACTTAACCGAAGAAAGGACAGGTTTCTTATCTTCTCTCACCTTCGGTTCGTCATAGCATTCATACTTAAAAAAATCAGCTTATGTCACTTCTCTGCTTGAAACCCTCAAACAGCTTCCCTTAGAAGAGGATCTAACCTCCTTTCCGTGACTGGCAAGGTCCTCCCTGATGTGGCCTGTGCCCCTCCTCCAACTTCATTCTGTTCTAGCCACAAGGGCCGTCTTTGGTTTCCTGAACAGGCTCAGCTCAGTCCCACCTCCCAGCCTTTGCCCTTGTCACGGCTTCACATGCTGGCTCTGACCCACCCCTCAGGTCTCATTCAAATATCACCTGCTCAGGGAGGCCTTCTGTGACCATCCTCTATGGAAACCTCCCAGTCGCCATTTTTATCTTACTGTGGTTTCATTGTTCCATTTACACATCTCTGAAATGATCTTGTTTCCTTATTTGTTGACTGTCTA